AGCGGATCCAGGGGGCGGGGACGGAGCCCGGGCGGGCGGGACTGGAGCAGAGCCCGGGAACGGGGCGGGAGGTCCCAGGGCCCCGGGTTGGGGGGTGGAACCGCACTTCGTCGCCGCGGGGGTGCCGGGACTCCGGCCGCAGTGCCGCCGCCATCACGGACTTCCTGTGGGACAAGCGCACGGGCCTCGCCGCCAGAACGGTGAGCGCGCGGGCTGACGGACCTTGGGGCCGCGGAAAGATGGCTACCACCAGACGGGCGGCGACGGGATGAGGCGAAATTAGGAAGGAGTGTTGGGCTCTGGAAGCAGCAGAGTAGCGCGATAAGAGGGAGGGAGGTGGACCTGCCTCGCTTAGCCGGGAGACCTCTAGTAAACTTGGAGGGAGCGGTTCCATACGTGCAAAAGTTGGACTAGGGCTTTAATACGAACCGAGAAGTGTCACTGGAGACACGATGTTCAAGTTGAGAAAAGTTAGGCTGGATTTGCTTTTCTAAGAAAGACCCGAGTGACTTTGTTGGTAGGGTGTCCTAAGTAAAATGGCATTTAGGTTAATCAGTTTAATCAAGATTGAGTTACCTAGGGAAGTTTCCTGCTTCATCTTCTTGGTTTTCTGCCAGTCACTTTAGGCCAATGCACTGTAGGTCACCTTCCTTACTTTAAGAAGGTTGGGAGGAAGTGGCCCAGAATGGCAACCAGATGTTGGCGTTAAACCTGCAGACCTCATGTCCTCAGTCCTGGATCAAGGCTGTTCCTGAGACTCCTCTTACTCAGTTTGTCCTGTGCTTTTCCTGAATTATGACAGTGATTTTTGCTCTGAGTATTTCCTTTGACTGAAAAATTACTCATAACTTTTAACCGGCCCAGTTTTATTTAATGGAGGAGGCCCAGCTGTCAGCCAAGTAGTACTGATACTAGTTTAAAACTAGTTATTAGGCTGAGGATATAGCTCAGTTGATATGGTGGTGCTCAACTAGCATTCATGAAGCCCTGGGTAAGCCAGGTATGATGAGGCTGCTCTTATCTCTTCACTTGCAAGTGAAGGCCATCCTAGGTGACATAATCAAAATTGAGGACGGGGCTGGAGAGATGGCTCAGTGGCTAAGAGCACTGGCTTCTCTTCTGGAGGACCTGGGTTCAATTCCAAAACCATGTGGCAGCTCACAACTGTCTGTAACTCCGGTTCCAAGTGATTTGACACTCTCACACAGACATACATGCAAGCAAAACATCAATAAAGTAAAACATTTTTAAAAATTGAGGGCAGCCTAGGATATGTTAAGTCACACTTCCTACAAAAAGAAAACAAGCCAAATGTGGTTGTGCAAGCCTTTCAATCCCAGCACTCAGGAGGCAGAGACTAACAAGATCTCTGAGTTCAAGTTCAGCCAAGTTTGTATAGCAAGTTCCAGGCCAGCCAGGGTTACATAAAAAGATCTTGTCTCCAAAAAAAAAAAAAAAAAAAAGCCAGGCACACATGTAATCTTAGCACTTGAGAGGCAGAGGCAGGCAGATGTCTTGAGCTCAAGTCCAGCCTGGTCTACAGAGATTTCCAGGACAGCCAAAACTACAAAGAAACCCCATCTTGAAAAGCCAAAAAGAAAAGGCAAATCCCAATTATTTTTTACTTACTAAATACAGTGGTGGTGGGGAATGTACAACTACTTTGTGGTACTGTTTTATAACGTCAGAGATTTAGCCAGATGTCTGAGAGACATTTATTTATAGGACCACACCCTGGTCCCTAGAACTTGCTAGTATTTGTAAGATCCTGGGAAACTGAAGTCCTGCCCTTGTGGTACTCCTAATCTAGTAAGGGGGGAGGGATTTGCTGTTAATAACTAAAACAGCCATGTAAACTGAAGCTTTACTTTGTTTGCTTGTGAAGAATTTGGGACAGCAGAGCTTCATAACTTCGATTGCAGCAGAGATGAACTGTGGCAATATTTATCAGACACACTTGTTACCTGTCATGAACTGTGGCTCAGACCTGACGGTCTTCATGGAGCCATGTTTGAGGTAGAGCAGTTGAATTTGACTTTCTTGAGCTTTCAGCCAAAATTTGTAGGTGGCTGTATAATCCATAAAGCAAAAGTTGTAAACACAAAGACTGAGGAATCTGTGCTAAAAGGCATAGAAGGTGGCTTTGCATCTTCATAAGCACACAGATCCAGAGAGCTTCTAAGAACTCAAAAGTGTTCCTACCATCTGCTTTTGCTTCCCTTCTAGATGCCTCATCCACGAAGGTACCATTCCTCAGAACGTGGTAGCCGGGGGAGTTATCACGAACACTATCGGAGCCGAAAGCATAAGCGAAGAAGAAGTCACTCCTGGTCAAGTAGCAGTGACCGGACAAGGCGGCGGCGGAGGGAGGACAGCTATCATGTTCGGTCCCGAAGGTGAGGCCTCAGGAAGAGAGACTGACTCCAGGTCACTGGTTTATTCATTTATTCAATAAGTGCTTATTGGTTACATGCTGAAGCCAGTGGGCTAAGTATGTACTTCTGTGGCAGAGCATGTACTTAATAAGCATTTGGTCCTGAGTTCACTTCCTGGCATTACCCAAAAAAAAAAAAAAAAATGACTCCCATCACTTGGGATGACACAAGGAGGGTTACAAGTCCACTGCTAGTTTGGGCTTCATACTGAGTCTGAGGCCAGCCTGGTCTATACAGTTCCTTCATACTGAGTTTAAGGCCAGCCTGATCTATACAGTTTCTTTGAGACTCTCAAAAAAAGAATTTTTCTGAAAGGTGCTTTTGTAGAGGAAGTACTTAGGGGTGGAAGCTGTACCCCCAGGCATTGTTGGAATGGATCTGGACCTGTGTCGTTAAGGAGAAACTTACCTTTTTTTTCCTTAAATTTTATGTGTATGAGTGTTTTGCCTACATGTCTGTCTTGGATTACATGCATCCCTGGTAGGTACCCTCATTAGTCAGAGAGGGTATGGGATCCCCTGGACCTGGAGGTACGGATGGTTGTGAGCTTCCTTCCATGTGGTTGCTGGATTGCACCCAGGTCCTCTGAAAGAGCACCTAGTGCTCTTAACTGTTGTGCTATTTCTCTAGCCCTTTTGTGTTTGTTCCTGAGACAAGGTGTCACTGTGTTACCCTGGCTGGCTTAGAACTTTCTGTGTAGACCACATATATCTTTCTCCTCTGCTGGAGTGCTGGGATTAGTGGTGTGTGCCACCATGCCTGACTCAAGGACAGCTTTTAAGAAAGGGTACCTAAGCTTGCCTGGTGGGGCAAATGCGAATCAGTGGTAGAAATGTCTTCAGGGGGCAGGGCCGCACATGCCATGCTAAAGAGAGCTCACGAGCTACATGAAAGTTAGGTCTGTGGGGTTTTAATAATTCAGTGGTATGGAGAGGAGTGGGTTGGATTGGAACAAGGCCAAATTTCATTTGGAAACATTAGAGAGCAAACTGGTTCTTTGTTCCTTGTGTCATTGGAGAGGAGGAGGAGCCCCCCACCACCACAGAAGGGATACTCCCATGGCTCTTTTCCCTAAGGTAGGACCATGTTGCATGGTGGCAGGGAATGTGGCCTGGCCTGATATTCCTGATGGATATTTGTTATCCAACAGCAGCTATGATGATCATTCATCTGACCGGCGGGTATATGATCGTCGGTACTGTGGCAGCTACAGACGCAATGACTATAGCCGGGACCGTGGAGATGCCTACTATGACACTGACTTTCGACATTCCTATGAGTGCCATCGGGAGAACAGCAGTTACCGAAGCCAGCGCAGCAGCCGGAGGAAACATAGACGGCGGAGGAGACGTAGCCGCACCTTCAGCCGCTCATCTTCAGTGAGTGCCAGCCCAGGCCTTTACTCTCCCCATTCTTCTGGAGTCCCTCGGGGACCCTGATAAATAAAAAGTCCCCTTGTTCTCAGTCATGCTTTGGAGCATGAACATTGAAGTGGGCACTGAGTGTGCCTACCCTCTTGGAAGCTCTCCGACTCTTGAGGGACCCCAGGTCTACTTTGGAGATAGAAGTGATATGTTGGATATGTTGGGTTTATGTTGGGAACAGCTGCTCTGCCTATAGGCCTTTATTTTTTTGATGAAGACCTTGGTTTTGAAAGGCCTGTGTCTCCCAAACCCTGATCTCTGTGGCCCCTCAACAGGAGAGTTTGGGTTGGGGGGGCGAGGGAAGACTGCGTCTGCCTAGAAGGGTGCTTCTTATAGCATGGGGTTGTGGGTAACACTGCAACATCATCGCTTTTCTGCTCTGCCCGTGCCTCTCCCTGTCCTGATTTGGGTTTGGGGACTTGGGATTATGCGCCGCTCTCTCTTCTCACACCGATCCGCCTTACCACATCTGACGTGTTCCCTTCCACTGTCCCCCATCATCGTCTGTCCCCCCTGGCTGGGCGCCTGTGACCGGTGACCCCTCCACCACCCACCCCGTCTCCCTCCGGCCCCCGATCCGACACCTGGCTTGCTCCGACCCCCCCCACCCCCCGACAGCAGCACAGCAGCCGGAGAGCCAAGAGTGTAGAGGACGACGCTGAGGGCCACCTCATCTACCACGTCGGGGACTGGCTACAAGAGCGATGTACAAGCCAAATCGTAACAATCCTATAGCCTGTAATGGTCCCATAGCCATCCTAACGTCCCATGCCAACCCAAGTCACAGCCTCTTTTGCCTTTTCTCAGTGGTGTTGCTCATCTGGGTGGTTTGAGTTGCTGTTGAGAATTGACCTGTTGTCCACTCCCAGCTCTCATGGCCCCTGGGTTAAAGGTGGTGGGAGTCACACAGGGGTTTTCTTCCCCTGCAGCCATCTATATCTGTTCCCCCTTCCTTCATCTCCTCACCCCAGGTTGCTGTGCCCTATTTCCTTCCAATTCATCTCATCCCCCCCTTTTCTCCCTCCCTCTCCCCGACCCTACTTTCTTTCGTTTCAGATGAAATTGTGAGCACCTTAGGAGAAGGTACCTTTGGCCGAGTTGTGCAGTGTGTGGACCATCGCAGGTAACTGCTGGCCTGCTGCTCCCTGCACATTTGTTAGGCATGGAAGATTATGAGGGCATCACATTTGTTTGCAGCTTAGACAGACAGAATTTGTTAGTGCTTACACTGATCCATTCTGTCTGAGATGTTCTTGAACCTAACAAAAACCTCCCCTATTGACCTACAGGGGCGGAGCAAGAGTTGCCCTGAAGATCATTAAGAATGTGGAGAAGTACAAGGAAGCAGCTCGCCTAGAAATCAACGTGCTAGAGAAGATCAATGAGAAAGATCCTGACAACAAGAAGTAAGCAAGCAAAGGAGCGTGTGAGGCTAAGGGACTCTACCCTGCAGAAGGAAGACTCCAGACGGGGCTAGGCAGGCAGGCAGGAGAACATAGAGTTTCTCATCCATTCGTTCTTTCCTTTAAAAGACATAGTTTCCCTGTGTGGTTCTTCCTGGCCTTGGACCTTTTTGCAGACCAGACTGGCCTTGAGCTCACAGAGATCCTCCTGCCTCTACCTCCTGAGTGCTGGGATTAAAGGTGTGCCCACCACACCCAATCCATTCAACTTTAGATCATATGAGAGTAGTAGGCCATTAGGATAGGCCTCTGACATTTTTTAATCCACTCCACTTGTTTTTATGACATGTAGGTTGCTCTGCAATCTGGGAATGTGCCTGGCATTGATGAGCATCACTATTGATGATGCAAGCCTGTAATTCCACCCATTTGAGAGAAGAGGAAAAGACAGATTGGAAGCACAAAGTCTGCCTGGGCCTCAGAGCAAGCTCAAGGTGGCCTGAGCAATTTAGTAAGACCTTTTCTCACAAATGAAAAGGGTGCTAGAGATGTAATTCAGGGATGGAGTGCCAGCCAACTACCTTCAGAGTACTAAATTCAAACCCCAGTACAACATAGACAAACAATTTGTTCAGGAAGCTGAGGCAGGAGAATCAGAAGTTTGAGACTAGGACTGGAGAGGTGGCTCAGCAGTTAAGAGTGTATACTACCATTAGGTGGGACCTGAGTTTAGTTTCCAGCACCCACATAGAAGCTCACACTAGGAGCCAGGCAATGGTGTCACACAGCACTTGGGAGGCAGATGCTGATGGATCTCTGAGTTCAAGGCCAGGATGGTGTACATAGTAAGTTCCAGCATAGCCAAGGCCATACACAGAAACCCTGTCTAGAAAAACAACAAATAGCTCTAGGAGAATCCAGCACTTCCAGCCTCCTCAGAAACCTGCAGTCACATGTACATAACTCACACACAGAATTAAAAATAAAATCTTTCAATTAAAACCTTTAATCCCAACACTTGGGAGGCAGAGGCAGGCGGATCTCAGTGAGTTCAAGGCCAGCCTGGACTACAAACCAAGTTCCAGGACAACCAGGAAACACTGTCTTGAAAAACAAACAAACATTTGAAGTGAGAATGTGGGGTGGTAGTAGTAGAACCCTTGGTGGAATGCAATGATTTGATCCTAAGCATTAATTGATTGAGGAAGAACAACAGGCTGTAGAACTTTGTGGATAACCTTGAACTCTTGGTCCTCTTGCCTTCACCTAGGATTATAAAAGTACACCACTGCACCTAATTTTATGTGGTGGTACCAGGTATTAAACTTGTGTGCATGCTAGGCAAGTACATTACCAACTGAGCTGAATCCCCAGCCAAATTAGATTTAACAAAACAGTAAGTATAAACTTAGCAGCCTAGTGGCTGGTAGTAAATTTCAGTTGATGGGGCTGGATGTAATGCTGTATGAATTTGAGACCAGGATGGGCTACATAGGAATTTCTAGGTCAGACTGGGCTACAGTGAGACGTAGACTTAATAAAAAAGGTAATGTTGTAATTGAGAATCCACATTGTTTAGAATTTGGTGCTAATAGCTCTTCAGCCAATAGCTGGGGGGGAGGAGGTATTTGAGATAGGGTCACATTACATAGCCCAAGCTAGCCTCAAATTCATGGTAATTGTCCTGCCTCTAAGTTCCTGGGTGCTTTGATTGCAGGAGTCCACCACCACACCCTGCTTGACAGATTTTGTTTTCCTTGTTTTGAGGTTGGTGATTGAACATGACCTCTTTCATGCCAGGCAAGTGCTGTATTCCTGAATTACAGCCCAGTCCAGCTAATAGGTTTTGAATTACTTAAACTATTACAAAAATATGTTTGAGAGTTTGGCAGGTAGGGCTTTTTGGTACTTCCAAAAAGCTGAACTGAATTTTGGTTTTTTTCTTTCTTTTTTTTTTTTTTTTTTTTTTTTTTTTTTTTTTTTGAGTGACAGGGTATCGTGTAGTCCAGGCTAACCTTCTCAAACTCACTGTGTAGTTGAGGATGACCTAGAGTTTATGATTCTCCTGCCTCTACCTCCCAAGTGCTGAGATTAAAGGTTCATGCCATCGTAACTGTTATTATGTGATGCTGCAGATTGAACTTTGGGCCTTGTGCATGCTAAGTAGACGCTCTCCCAAGTGACATACATTCCTAGCCTTTATTAGTGACATTAACTGGCGTGTGTTTATACAACTGTGGAATCAACAACTGTGCTGTCCTTCCTTTTGGTGGGGTGGTGAGCTGTTGGGAGCTTATTAGACATCCAAATTCCCCTGTCTTTCCCCAGCCTCTGTGTCCAGATGTTTGACTGGTTTGACTACCATGGCCACATGTGTATCTCCTTTGAGCTTCTGGGCCTTAGCACCTTCGATTTCCTCAAAGACAACAACTACCTGCCCTACCCCATCCACCAAGTGCGCCACATGGCCTTCCAGCTCTGCCAGGCCGTCAAGTGTGAGTGGGGTGGGCTGAGGCGGACTCTGGGGCAGCCTTCCTTCCATCAGACCTCTTCTGTGTACTTGTGTGCTGAGAAGCCCCTAACCAGTCAGTGTACCTGCACACCTGTGGGTCTTGCCATCTCTTGTACTTCGCTCCTTGACTGGTGTCTTTCCCATCAGTGAGCATCTTTGCTCTTACTGCACACCCACAGCACTTAGTGTCTTTTCCTCATCCCTTCTTTCTTGGAGAAGTGCTGGACAGCACGCACAAACGCGCACACACACACTCTTGCTGGGGTCTAGGTTTGTGTAGTGAGGCGCTCTTCATTTCAGCAAAGCAGATGGGAGAACCCTGAATCGTTCAACTTCGGTGCCAGCTTCAGAATCCAGAGCCATTGTTCCTCTGCATTTTCACAATGCTGCCGTTTTAATGAATTGAGTTTGCAGGATGTCTGACCAGAGTGAAGACCAGACAAAAACTCCCACTGTGGCACACTGCTGCTTTTCTATCCAATGAACTATGTGTGTGGTTTTTTTACTGCTCAGGGTAGATTAGATCTTAGACCAGGCATTTGATTTAGTTGCAGAGCAGAAAGTAGTCTCAGGAGAGTCAGGGTCTGCCTCCTCACCAGCTTTGTCCTTGGTGCTCAGTCAGGGGTCAGCTGCTGCCAGCTAGCACTAGCCACCTGGGTCAAGCCTGATCTAGCCTTCTCCCCGCAGTCCTCCATGATAACAACTTGACACACACGGACCTCAAACCTGAAAATATTCTGTTTGTGAATTCAGACTACGAACTCACCTACAACCTAGAGAAGGTAAGATGGACAGGGCCAGCCTCTGTCCCGAGGGGCAGGCAACTGGGCCACCTGGCTGTGGTTAGCTCACTGTGTTCTCTCTCTTACTAATGTCCCCCTGTCTGCCTCCAGCTGGTTCCCTTACCACAGTAAGTCAAAAGGGAACAATTTAAGAAGTCTTAAATTGAAAGACAGTTTCTAACAGGGTGAAAATCTCCGTGCTCCCTCTCTTAGATGTGTCTTTCTGTGTGTTAGGGAAACAGCTTGCTTGGCAGCTTGAGGTCTCAGCACTAAAGGTCCTCTTTACCCTTTGCTACCTATTACAGATTTTCAGAACAGTACACCAGACACTTGAGTCTAGTCTTCGGGTACTTAGAGACTTCCATATTATTCCATAATCATTTCTTAGTTGTCTTCCTTTCCTACTTCTAAGGTACTACTGTAAGAGCTAGGTGTGGTGGCACATGCCTGTAATCCCAGCACTTGGGAGGCTCTGAGGCAGGAGGATTGCTGCAGGCTTAAAGCCTGACTGGGAGACATAGTGGAATCCTATTTTAAACAAACAACAACAAAATACCAAGAACCAGATTTTCCTGGGTATTTGGGAACAGGCTACACTTTTTCCGACTCAAGCACCTTAGTCCGTGAATCTGAGTCTGACAGAGACTCATCCCCATCTGCTCTGCTCTAGAAGCGAGATGAGCGCAGCGTGAAGAGCACAGATGTGCGGGTGGTCGACTTTGGCAGCGCCACCTTTGACCATGAACACCATAGCACTATTGTCTCCACTCGCCATTACCGAGCCCCAGAAGTCATTCTTGGTAAGGAAGCTCAGGGCTGTCCTGTGGTGAGGTGATGTGAGATAGCGTCTCTGAAGCATCATAATTCCTCTTGCTCCTCACTGTGCAGAGTTGGGCTGGTCACAGCCGTGTGATGTGTGGAGCATAGGCTGTATCATCTTTGAGTACTACGTTGGCTTCACCCTCTTCCAGGTAAGTGGTGGGGATATCACTGGGCCACCTGGCATTCTTCTCCTTGGTTTCTTGATCTGCTGAGAACATACCTACTCAGGCCTCCACATTGCCCATCTAGCAACAAGTCCCCAGCATTCCTTCCTGAGTGCCATGCTTAGATCTATCTTTGTTTCCCAGACCCATGACAACAGAGAACATCTAGCCATGATGGAAAGGATCCTGGGTCCTATCCCTTCTCGGATGATCCGAAAGACAAGGTGAACCTTGAACAGAAGGGGCTACCCTTTTCTTTCCATGGAATTTGTCTATTGTACATCATTTTCTTTTTTTCATTGATACCTCCCTAGCCTCCCACTTTCACATGGGTAAACAGGGAAAGCATTTTATAAAAGGGGAACCTTCTGATGCACCAACCTCCCCTTCCCCTCTAGAAAACAGAAATATTTTTATCGGGGTCACCTGGATTGGGATGGAAACACATCAGCGGGGCGCTACGTTCGTGAGAACTGCAAACCACTGCGGGTGAGCCCAGCCAGGGATATTTATTTCTACAATTTAAAGGTTGCTTCCTTCTTAGGGTGGTATGCCCCTGCAATGCATTTTATAAGTAGAAGGTTGGGACAGTAGGGAAGAAAAGCTGAAAGAAAACAATTTGATCAACAATGAACAGAAAAGAAAGAATGGTTTCACAGAGGCAAGGAGGTTAGCCTAATCTTAAGACAACCAGAGATCAAACAATGTCCTGAATTCTTTAGGTCAGACAGGATAAGCTACCTTTCAAGAGCTTACATTTTAATGTGGAGCTAAAGAAGATTCATGAAGTTGACAGGGTTATACAAGTACAACTTTTCAAAGAGTATGAAGGAGTAATTGTACTAGTAGGAAGGTAGGTTGAGCTGTCATATCAGAAACGCTGGTCATGATGTGATTGTAGTAAGGTAGCATTCAAATTACATGCAAACCAAGCCTTGGTACTTTTTTGCAAAAGGTAAAGGTGGGACTTTTAAAGGAGGTAGAGAGCTCGGGATGTTGGTACAGGCTTGTGATCCCAGCACTTGGGGTGCTGAGGCAGGAGAATATTGAGTTCACAGTCAGCTGCCGTGAATAGTTCCAACAACCTGGGCTACGTAGAGATCCTGACTTAAAAGGAGAATGAAAAGGAAAGAAAGATAATAAAAGTTTGTAAGGCATCCTGCTTTACCTTATTCCTGCCCTCCACCAGCGGTATCTGACCTCAGAGGCAGAGGACCACCACCAGCTCTTCGATCTGATTGAAAGTATGCTAGAGTATGAACCTGCTAAGCGGCTGACCTTAGGTGAAGCCCTTCAGCATCCTTTCTTCGCCTGCCTTCGGACTGAGCCACCCAACACCAAGTTGTGGGACTCCAGTCGGGATATCAGTCGGTGACAATCAGGCCTTGGACCCCCCTGCTTCTTGTGTAGCAGTGGGTGTCCAGTCCAGGACACTGGTGCTTTTTTATACAAGAGAACAGAGCCAGAACTCACCCCCTCTCCTGCCCATGGCTCCTTTATACCTGTGAATATGTGAAATAGTGTATATATGACAGATCTTGTACCTATCACTACAAACCCTGCCTTGTATATACTGCTATTTACACTCTTCAGCCTCATCTGCCCCTCATGTGGAGTTGGATGGGGGGCAGAATGAGGTAGCCAGGTGGTGTCTACCCCATGTTTTATAAGGGATTTTGTACAGTCTTTGTGAAATAAAATGACATGCTTCATCTTACCCCCATCCCTGGAATTTGAGGTTCAAAGGTGCTGGGGTAAAGGGGTAAAACGATTGGTACCTATTCTGAATTTTAGTATGAAGGCAGAGCCTCTTTGCCCTGCCAAGTTAGAGCCAGACTATGAGTTTAAATGCACTTTGTGTTCGAAGATAGTGAAGATTAAAACTGATGCGATCAGGTAGAACTTGTGTGATCTGGAGTAGTTAGTGTTGGGAAATAGCTTTGACCCTGTAAATTACTGGCTGTGTGACGGCGGCCCCTGAGGCTGGCCCACCAATACAGCCTGAAACCCATAAGAAAACTCCCGCCACCGGCCAGTGCAAAAATTTCCCGTCTGTGCTGTTTTACTTGAGTCTGCCTGGGATAAGTATTTCTTTCCTGCTAGGAGGTCACGTGGGGGAAGTGCGGCGGTAGGCTGCGGAGACTGGTCCAGAGTTGTCACGTGAGGTGCTTCCCGCTTTAGGTTTTTTTTTTTTTTTTTTTTTAAATACCAGGGCGCAGGCGCAGTTCGCTACTGATGCGGGAATCTTGGTGACTCTTCCGGTTGGTTCAGCCAATCGGAACGCACAGAAGCGGGTGGACCGAGCACACCGGAGGGAGTTCTCCGGGCCGCCGCCGCCTTCCTGCTGCGGCAGGGGCGTGGAGGGCAGGGGCGGCAGAGCTCAATTGCAAACATGGCTCAGAGCAGAGACGGCGGGAACCCATTCCCCGACTCCGACGAGCTTGACAATCCCTTCCAGGTGACTTGCGCCGGCCTCTTTTGGGCAGTCTTCCCCAATTCTAAGGGATCGGGCTACTATTCCCATTCGTGACATTTGACTCAGGGAAGGAGTGTCGCTACATAGTGACGGTAGCTCCTGACCATTGCGCACTCGGGGACTAACGGGAAGCGGGCTCTGCCCCTCTCATGAGTGGGTTCTAGCAATATAGGGTGATAGACTTGAAGGCAAATGTTGGAGACAACGGCGTGGCACCGAGGTCTCAGTACTTTGAGTCACGAGCAGTTTCGGGAAGTTCCTAGGAATTCCCGTGGCCCCGAGTGCCCGCTGAGCCAAGTCTCTGCTCTCAGGACCCAGCTGTGATCCAGCACCGACCCAGCCAGCAGTATGCCACGCTTGATGTCTACAACCCTTTTGAGAACCGAGAGGTGAGCAATTAGGAGCACAAAAGAGCAGGAAAGGGGGAGTGTGCGTAAACTCTGTCCGTGCATACTGGGGCTTTTTTTTTTTTTTTTTTCAGAAGAAAGATAAAGGTTGTGTTTTTTTTTAGCTCCCCGAGAGATGCCATACAGTCAGGACAAGCCTAACTCAGGAAAACGAAGCCATCTATTTTTGAGTTCGAAAAGTCAGTCTAGGGAGGATCTTTGGTCTATGGGAAGACTTACTTGAAGAGAATCAAGGTTGGGGCTAGTTAGGGGTGAGAAACCGGCTTAGGTGTGCGACCGCAGGGCAAACAATGAAGAAGAGGGGAGCTCAACTGGTAAAGTGCTTGCTATCAAGTGCACTACCCTGGGTTGTGATCCCCAGCCAAAGCACTACATAAACAGTATGGTAGGTAACACAGGTGTGTAATCCTAGCACTTGAGAGGTACAGGCAGGAGTATTAGAAGTTCAGGGTTTTCCTTAGGTAGTGGCAAGTTGGAGGCCAGGGTGCCATGTGGGAGACCCAAGTTCAGTCTCCCAAGAACAATGTGATGGAAGAAGAAAACAAGCTTCCACAAGACCTCCACATCCACACCATGATTTGAGAGAACACATGCCGGAACTCACGATGAGTAAATAAATTAATTTTAAGAGTTAAAAAGATGATGCATGGGTAGATGCTTTAAGTGCTGTGAAGCATCAGACATAACAGACTGTGGCCAGGATTGCTACAGGTCCTGAATAAGTTATCCAGTTTAAATTCACACAAGAATAGCCAGGCATTGGTGGCACAAGCCTTTAATCCCAGCACTCAGAGGCAGAGGCAGGCAGATCTCTGTGAGTTCGAGACCAGCCTGGTCTACAGAGTGAGTTCCAGGACAGCCTTCAAAGCTACAGAGAAATCCTGTCTCCAAAAAAAACAAGCCAACAAACAAAAACCACAAGAAGTAGCTTCCTGTCTAGGCACGTGACTGAGGCAGGAGGATTACAGGTTCTAGACCAGCCCCAAAACCTATTGTCTCAAAAACAAAACAAACAACAAGGAGGTAGGCAGAAGAGCTGCTGATGTGGCTCATGAGTTCTGGTAGCAGATGATGTCAAACAGACTAGGGCATTAGTTGATCTCTAAGGCTTGTTTCCAACAGCCTCCACCAGCCTATGAGCCTCCTGCCCCAGCCCCAGCCCCAGCCCCATTGCCGCCACCCGCAGCTCCCTCTGTCCAGTCCTCAAGAAAGCTCAGCCCCACAGAGCCCAAGAACTATGGCCCCTACAGCACTCAGGTAAGCGGGGTGTGCAGGTGGTGAGGACAGGAGCCAGTGCTGGGTCTGGAATTCACATCGGCCTCTGCTCATGTTGCATAGGCTTCTGCTGTTGCAGCCACTGCTGAGCTGCTCAGGAAGCAGGAGGAACTCAACCGAAAGGCAGAGGAGTTGGACCGCCGGGAGCGAGAACTGCAGCATGTTGCCCTGGGTGGCACACATAGTAAGTGTTTCCTGGTTAGGGTGAGAAAGAGTGCTTGACAGTTTGGAAGGAGCTACAAAAACATAAGAAGATTGGTTCATCAGTCAGATTGTTAAAACTGAATTATAATTATAGTTGGCATTGCTTCTTAGCCATGGGTTCTTAAGCAGTTACATAATTTTTTAAAAGATTTACTTTTAATATTTTAATTTTACATGTATGAGTGTTTTGCCTGCATGTATATAAGTGAATACATATGTGTGCAGTGTGTCCATGGAGACCAGAAGAGGGCAACTGACCCCTGACTCCCCCTCCCTGTTACAAACCATCATGCGGGTGCTGGGAACCTAGCCCTATGTCTCTGCCAGAGCAGCCTGTGCATAACACAGAGCCATCTCTCCAGCCCTTGGGTGCTAATCTTAGACATCCCATCACTGAGCTATGTACCCCAACTATTTGTGCTTTATATTGAACTTCAGCTTCCTGTTTTCTAAAACGTTCTTCTCATTTTACAAAGTAGGAGATTGTGAGGGTTGAATAAAATCACCTATGTAGAGCTCTTGGCATGAGCCTCAGATACTTCAGATAATAACTGTTTGCTTACCATTATTTCCTGTTCTTCTTTGTCTTGTCTTGGAAGGGTCTTGCTGTGTAGACCAAGCTGAACTGGAATTTTCTATCCTCCTGCCTCAGCCTCCTCAGTGTGGGATTAGAGGCATGTACTACCATGCCTACTATTTCCCACTTTTTGTTTCTTTGGACCCACAATTGAGAAGACTTAAGAATGGAGGGAGAGGGGAGAGTGCCCCCTACTGATTTACACTCATTTTTGAGGCATTCCTCCTGTTTTTTTGCCTTACAGCTCGACAGAACAACTGGCCTCCCCTACCATCTTTTTGCCCAGTTCAGCCTTGCTTTTTCCAGGACATCTCCATGGAGATCCCTCAAGAATTTCAGAAGACAGTATCCACCATGTACTACCTCTGGATGTGTGAGTGTGAGAAGTCTTTTTGGGAGACATTACACATAAATCTGTTAAATGCCTTAGAACAAGCTCTGAGAGCAAGACACTTAACGTTTCTTTAAGAACCTTTAGGGTTGGTCTTTTAGTGTGTGTGTGTGTGTGTGTGTGTGTGTGTGTGTGTGTGTTTGTGTATTCTTAGCCTACCTTTCTCTCTGTCACCATTGTTCTGTAAATGGATTCTGAATTCTTGCCAATTTGTTTTCAAGGAGATCATACCTGATCTGTGGGGTAGATTCTCCAGGGCGTGGGCCCCATCCTTTCATGCTGCTGCCACATTGGGAAGGCATATGTGACAGGCTTCATTGCATTCCAGAAAGTTCCTTCATTCTGTCCTCTGCCCCTCAGGCAGCACTTTGGCTCTTCTCCTGAACTTCCTCGCCTGCCTGGCCAAGTTCTGTGTGGAAACCAGCAGTGGCTCAGGCTTTGGGCTGTCTATGCTTTGGCTCCTCCTTTTCACTCCCTGCTCCTTTGTCTGCTGGTATCGCCCGATGTATAAGGCTTTCCGGTAAGTGCGGGAGGGTTGAGGGTGGGGGTCTGCCATGGGTCCCATGGCTGCTCCCCTAACCCTCATCTTCTAATTCCCCCACACTTTTCTTTTTTTCTCTTTGCAGGAGTGATAGTTCATTCAATTTCTTCGTTTTTTTCTTCATTTTCTTCGTCCAGGATGTGTTCTTCGTCCTCCAGGCCATTGGCATACCAGGGTGGGGCTTCAGGTGTGTGTGAGCTGCCATTTACCCTCCCTCACCCCTTCCTCCCACTCTAGGCAATTCACTTAGGAGGTAGGGTGGTCCAGCAAAAGACCATGTGTGCTTTCTCTGGAGAGGTTCATTTAACAAGAAGTCAAGATGCTTGGTCCAGAGAGCCCAGAGATCTCTAGACAGGCAGCAGCTGAAAGGAAGTCTTCCTGGGGGAGGCCATGTCACCCTCAAGTGAGAAGATTCTGTTCTGAGTGAGGGTGTTTGGAGTTAGGAGCTAACGCTTCAGAAATGAGTTACAAGTGTAAAGAAAATAGATGCGGTGGGACTGGCTCATGGAATGTCACCGTGTTGGCAGAGGAGTGACCACTGAGGGCATAGAGCATGTTCACAGCATGCCCAGTGAACACTGGGGAAACAGCCCCTGCCAAGAGCAGCGTCCCTCACCAGCACCTCTTCTCCACAGTGGCTGGGTCTCTGCAATTGTGACGGTGAGCACCAACACGGCTGTAGCTGTGCTCATGCTCCTGGTTGCCCTGCTCTTCACTGGCGTCGCGGTGCTGGGAATTGTGATGCTGAAGCGGGTGAGGGACCCGGTAGAAGTGGGTGGGTGGAGATTGTGAGTCCTTAGGGGTGCAGAGGAGAACATTAACAAGGAACTTGGGCAGGGTAAGCAAAGGGCTAGGTTCTCAACTAATGGAGTTTCTTGGGTGGGAGAATCTATGTGCTTGGAGGGAGTGCCATCCCAGAAGGAAAGGCAAGAACAGCATGCTAGTGAGTGAGTGGTGGTGTCAGCTTGGGGTGAGGTGGGAGGGCCTTGCCTATGTAGTAACGCCTCTGCCATCTTCTTGCAGATCCACTCCTTGTACCGCCGAACAGGTGCCAGCTTTCAGAAAGCCCAGCAAGAATTTGCTGCCGGAGTCTTCTCCAACCCAGCAGTTCGAACTGCTGCCGCCAATGCAGCCGCAGGGGCTGCTGAAAATGCCTTCAGGGTCCCATAACCCCCACTGGGATGTCCTGACCCTGCCACCTGTGGGAACTAAGATAGTCCCTATCCCTGAAGTCTCAGGGATTCAGGGAGACATCACTACTTATTGACTTCTATAGGGCTCTGAATTCCACAGCCACGACTCTAAACCTGACTTGGAGGTGTGGGGAGCCCACTGTGACTCAGTCATTACTTGCCTTTGTCCCCCATCTGGCCACACTGCTGCCACCTCTCTCTCACACACACACCCCAAACCCAGTTTCCCTCTGCTGTGCCAAGGATGTCTCTTCCGTTATTTAAATTAAAAAAAGAAAAAAAAGTATAACTGAAACTCCCCCATGTCCTGGATCTTTACTGGATATTAGGCTTTTTGAAAGAGTGTTGAGAGGGGCACTGGAGTGAAACACGTGTCTGCAGGAGAGGTTTTGCCTGACACACTGGGTGGGGTGGTAGGAGGCCCAAGACATGGGGAGTTCCTGCCCAGTCTGTTTGCCAGCCCTTTCCATTAATGATGGGCAGTCAGCCACCTCTGCTGAGAACTCTGCATCCCGGGGACCTGAAGCGTTGGGTAGGACGGAAAATGGGCACAGAAATGATACTTAACCAGCCAGGCTTCAAGGGCGAGGCTGGGGTTGGAGAGAGCCTCTCCCTATCTCCTCCCCTCCCCAGGGTTGCTTTCAGACTACAGCTCCCGGGATGCACTGCACCAGCCACCACACCCCTCCTCCGCACCACATACCAGCACCCATCCCCCGCCTCTAGAGCCTGCCCCGCCTCTAGAGCCTGACCTGCAGCGGCTGGAGGAGCTAAGGGAGCAGAGCGTGGTGGGGAGGGGAGCGGGGTCCCGCCCCCCCGCCCCCGACCCTGGAGACAGTTTCTGTGGCCTCTCCCCATCAGGCGGCCCTGGATCACCAAAGGCACCTCTAGTCCCTGCATGCAGATCTTTCTCCTCTTCTGTAGACTTCTTTGCATCCCTCTCGCCTTTGCCCTCCCCACCCTTTCCTGGGCTCCGGAACGCTACTCTATCTTCAGTTTGGGATCAGCCCTTCTCGGCACCCCTCTTCGTTAAGGAAATGCAATGAGCTGGTGCCTTCGCGTCCTCATCGCTGCCTCGGGCACGGTACCCGTCTGGTGGTGGGGAGGGAGCCCCCCACTGTCCCTCCGTGACGCCCCTCCTTTGGGCCTCCCTCTAGCTGGCGTCCCTGGGCGATGCCCCAGAGGACCTAGCCAGGAGGTGGGCTTTACAGTGAGGGCGCTGGAAAGGATAAAGAACGGGGCCTTGGGCACCTCTGAGATGCTCCCAAGTATCAAGGGGGATCGAGCGAGGTATGGGCAACCGGGCGGCAGGCATGATGCCTTCGCCTAGTGACTCCAGCCGCTCGCTGACCAGCCGGCCCAGTACGCGGGGCCTTACCCACCTCCGCCTCCACCGACCTTGGCTGCAGGCCCTGCTCACGTTGGGGCTAGCCCAGGTGCTCTTAGGCATCCTGGTGGTAACCTTCAGCATGGTGGCCTCCTCTGTCACCACCACCGAGAGCATCAAGAGGTCCTGCCCGTCTTGGGCTGGGTTCTCGGTGAGTTGGGTAAAGAGTGCACAGTAGTGGGGTGGGAGAAGCTTCTCAGGCCCCACCCTCCTCACCTGCAAGCTTGTTTTCCCTTCCTCTCCCAGTCCTCTCCCTCCTTGCAGGGCTGGGTGCATCCTGTGGCAAGGGGCTCACTCAGGTGCTTCCCCTGCCAGGCTGAGCCTGTGCCCACTCTGTCCCTAGCTGGCGTTCTCCGGGTTGGTTGGCATTGTGTCCTGGAAGCGTCCATTCACTCTAGTGGTAGGTGCCAAGGCCCAATGCCCACTGGGAGGCAGGTGCCCAACACCAGAGGGGATATACCCTTTATACCCTCAGGAAGGGACTTGGTTTTCCAGTTGGTGCCAGGCTGGCATAAGGTGTCTGTTAGGAAAAGAGGGTGGCTCATTCTGTGGAAAAGGAGTACAGTGACGGTCCCAGCCCTGAGATGACATCCTCTCTCCCCCAGATCTCCTTCTTCTCCTTGCTTTCGGTGCTCTGTGTCATGCTCAGCATGGCTGGCTCTGTTCTCTCCTGTAAGAATGCTCAGCTGGCTCGGGACTTCCGAGAATGCTCCATGGTGAGATTTGAGGGGGGAGACCTGAAAAGAACTGGTTAGGGGAGGTATGAGGGACCCCTGAGTTTGCTCTGATCCAGGCTGACTTGCCCTTTCCACTCCCACACAGGAAGGGAAGGTCTGTGTGTGCTGCCCCCCTATTCCTCTACACAGACCCTGTCCAGAGTGGGGCCAGGAACTGAAAGTTGCCCTTAACTCCACCTGTGATGAAGCCCGAGGGGCCCTCAAGGTGAATACACCCTCCCCAACCTCTTTCTCCTACACTATCATCCTGGTTCTCCCCCTCGTCTCCCTTCCTGGGGTTCCCCAAGGCTCGGATATGTGGGGTCTGCCCCTCCCAGGCCATGTATTCCTCACCTTTTCTTTCCTTCTCCAGAACCTGCTGTTCAGTGTCTGTGGGCTTACCATTTGTGCTGCAATAATCTGTACCCTCTCTGCTATCGTCTGCTGTGTCCAGATCTTCTCCCTGGATCTGGTGCACATGGTGAGAAGGGAGACAGGGCCCAAGCAGACAGGTCTGGTGGGAGCATGGAGTGTGTGCTGGGATTGGGCTTGCAAATAGTGGCTACAGGTCTAGATTTTGAGCTTGGGGCTCTGGGTCACCTGAGGATATGTATTACAGGGATGCTGAGGGCCAAAGGGAGTAAGGAAGACTGGATGGGGTGAAATCAGGAGGGTTCCAGATGGAAGTCGGGATAAAGGATGGGTAGTCCTGTGGTGAGAGGGAACAGATGATAGCTGTGGACAGATGTGAGACTAAAACAGATTTACAGCTGGCAAGGCTAGAGCTAGAGGTACTGAGGAGGCACAGGTTGAAGAAGGAACTGGGTGTGGTTCAGAAGGGTTGGAACTGGATCTTCTTGGAGGAGGTAGGACCATAAAAATAGCAGAAAGAAAAGAAATTTGAAACCAGGCTTGCTCCCTAGCAGCTGGCCCCTGAACGCTCAGTCTCAGGCCCCCTAGGGCCCCTGGCTTGTACATCATCGCCTCCAGCTCCTCTCCTCCACACCATGCTGGACTTGGAGGAATTTGTCCCACCTGTGCCCCCACCACCCTACTACCCTCCAGAGTACACCTGCAGTTCAGAAACAGATGCACAAAGGTGAGGCTGGGTGAGGTCCTGCTGGGGCCTCAGGGAGAGGATTGGGGCCGGGCCTGGATTGGTGGGGAGGTATAGCTGTGGAGGAGGAGCTATTTTCCAGGCCCTGATGTCTCCCTCATCCTGCCAGCATCACGTACAATGGCTCCATGGATAGCCCAGTGCCCTTGTACCCTACTGATTGCCCTCCTTCTTACGAGGCCGTCATGGGGCTACGAAGAGACAGCCAGGTGAGGAGAAGGCTTGGTGCAGCTGGGAGCAGTGGATAGAGCCTGGAAAGCTGCTTGATAAGGATACCAACCGTTCTCATGATCTCTATAGCTCACCCACTGTCATCTTTGATCTGCCCTAGAGCTGCTGAGGTGGGTGGGAGATGAACTAGTCTTTCTCTACTAAAGATGTGCCGCTGGGTGTGATGGTCCACTCCTGTAATCCCAGCACTGCAAAGGCAGAAGCAACAAGTGCCACAAGACTGGGGGCAACCTGGTCTACAGAGAGTTCTAGGCCAACCAGGGTTTCGGTGACCTTGTCTCAAAAGACGAAGATACAGAAACTAATGCCCTTATAAGTGACCTATACAAAGCCAACTGTAATATCATATGCCTATAAATACAGCACTTGGGAAGTAGAGGCAGCAGGATTAGGAATTCAAAGGCTAGCCTAGGCTACTCAGTAAACCCTGTCTCAAAAAAAAAAAAAAAAAAAAAAAAAAAACCAAAAAACAAAAAAAAAAAAAAAAAAAAAAAAAAAACCCAAAAACCAAAACAAACAAAAACAGATTAACTCACACAGAGTGACAAAGCTGCCCTGGAATCTCTAGTCTCCAGAGCTCTTCTCAGTGCATAGGAATGGTTATGCCAGTGTGACCAGCCAGACTTTTGATCCTGTGTCTTCTGCAGGCCACTCTGTTTGATCCTCAGCTTCATGATGGCTCCTGTGTCTGTGAGCGGGTGGCCTCCATTGTAGATGGTGAGCACAGTGGGGTCAGAGCTGACCAAGGCAGGGTGGGGTCATGAGGAGGGAAAAATAAGGCTGAACTCAGCTGATGGTTTGGAGTTGACCGTGGCTTCTTAGAACCCTGAGCTTATCTGTCTCCTTGAAGTTATAGCTGGAGTTAGCATGGCTCATGAAGGGCAGCTGCCCTCCTGCAGTCCTACCTACCGTTCCCTTGCCGCCCACAGTGTCCATGGACAGCGGGTCCCTGGTGCTGTCAGCCATTGGTGACCTCCCTGGGGGCTCCAGCCCATCAGAAGACTCTTGCCTGCTGGAACTCCAGGGCTCTGTGCGCTCTGTGGATTATGTGCTCTTCCGCTCCATCCAGCGCAGCCGAGCAGGCTACTGCCTTAGCCTGGACTGCGGCCTGCGTGGCCCCTTTGAAGACAGTCCCTTGCCACGGCGACCCCCGCGGGCTGCCCGTTCCTACTCCTGCTCAGCCCCTGAAGCCCCACCCCCACTGGGTGCCCCCACAGCTGCTCGCAGTTGCCACCGGTTGGAGGGCTGGCCTCCCTGGGTGGGGCCTTGCTTCCCCGAGCTGAGGCGACGGGTCCCCAGAGGAGGCAGCCGCTCAGCTGCACCCCCTCCTGCCCGAGCCCCAGCTCGACGCTTCAGTGATAGCTCAGGTTCCCTCACCCCACCGGGGCACCGGCCTCCTCACCGGACGCCCCCTCCACCACTGCTGCTGCCAAGGTCTCACAGCGACCCAGGCATCACCACCTCCAGCGACACTGGTGAGCCACACTCTCATTTGGTTCCGGGAAGGGCAACCACTAGCACTGGGACTCTGCGAGGTTCCTGAGGGGGAAGAATGTGAAGTTAGTTACTCCTGCAATGCCTGTCTGAGGGACAGAGGCTTTATGAAGCCTGGGCTACATAACCACCCAGTTATACAAACAGATCAACCAGAAGTCTCCGCGAGATACTGAGATATAAAGCGAGATGGTTCACAGCCACACAGGAAATGCCCGATGTCCCATCTGGGCACAGAACTGGGAGGCTACAGCAGTGAGATCCCATCTTCCTACATCATACCATGTAGCTGTGGTCAGAGATGACGGCCTCTTTTTTTTTTTTTTTTTTTTTTTTTTTTTTTTCCGAGA